GTCGTTTAAATTTACAAAAGTGTTTAGAATGCTTTAACTTGGCAACAATTATCAAGTGAAAGTTGAAATCGCCGACAGCAAACGGAACTGCCGTAAATCTTGAGTACACATGTACATTCGAAGGGTTTTTTTTTACTTGTCATTTAGATAAAACTAAAAAAACTGAAAAACTGAAAACTCGGTAAAACTGAATTTAAAACTTAAAAAAAAGATATCGTTAGAAAACTTCAATCTTTGTAGACACTTGGAAATTGCAAGAGTTGACTGCCGGTCACGGTTCTCAAATAATGAAATGACTTGCAGTCGAGACAACCCATACATTCCAAACTATAATATGTTGATGAGGAACTTCTAAGCGATCTCGAAAAGATTTACAAATCTCATATCTAGCGTTCAGTTTACTTTGACTCAGAATTATTTCACTCAGAAATTCCGTGATACCATGCGGGATGTTTTGCATGCGCTTTTATTCCCAAAAGAAAAAAAAACGGATAAGGAAAAGGAAGAACAATTACATCGTAAAAAATTGGTTGGTGTACCACTTGCTCGAGTTTAAGTCTGTCCTCTTTAAAAAATTCTTGATAGCTAAAAACTATTCAGCGAAGTGGAAGTAGGTAGTGGTAGATATTTATCAAACCGCTGATGATATTGACCAATGATGCTGATGCGAGTAGTTGTTTTGTTGTATACTAACACAGTGAATTAAAAACTAACTATTCAAACTAAATTATTCCTGCATCGATTACAATGCTTTCGGGCGCAAATCTCCCAGCGGTGAAAAACTGAGAATATTCGGAGTTTGACAAGCTAATCAGAGCGCCCCTTCAGCATTCTCTACTGTGTCAGTATATACCTCTCACGAATTCTGAAAACTATCAGAATTTTTTTTTTTTTAATCTAAGGTCGATAGTGGAACGAGACCTTCAGAGTGAGCTAGCGTGATTCTGTGAAACAATAATATACCATGAGTGAATTAGACTTGAAATTGATACAAAATACTCTAAATTACAGTAGCTCTGAAAATAATTGGACAAAAGAAACAATAGTAGGCAAGAGGGAAATGTTCTCATCGACAATTCTTTTCCAAATTTCAGAGATGTTTTGCCTTCTTTCTTGTTTTCTTTTTTTTAAAGCGTTAACACTTGGATTAGGAAAAGTCACTTGGAAAATGCATCGGTTTAGAAAAATTCGTCTCCATTTTTCTGCATAAAATGAGCAGCCTTAGCAATAGGCCTTTTTAGTTGTCACGAAATTTAAAATGGTTACACAAGAATTCGAAATGGAAAGAAAAGTGAACGCTATGATATAAAACAGAATATGAAAGTGACCTCAAACAAAAACTTTTTTAACAAAAACTTTCCCTAATCCCGTTGTGAACTAATTTACTTTGGTGTTTATTTCCACAAACTTAAGTTTATAACTTAAACAAGCCTAAACATGAAACTTGAAAAAAGGAAACAAAACCCTTGGTTAATTTCCGAAGCAAATCCAGGACCGAAAAGGCACAAAACTTGTCTGATAATAAATAATATACAGTCTTGAGCGTGACAAAGTGTCGTGGTTTACCCAACCTTCAATGATTTGCGAAGCTGGAATATGTTTTTTCCCTTGCACTGCGTGAAATGAGTAATTTCGTGGAATTTTTGGAGCCGTGATATTTCACGACTGACCCGACGAGTCGCAGATCGGAACGCAACGTGTCGGGAAACTTGGCGTGTCGGAGAGTGTCATGTTCCTGACACCCGTGACACGGCGTGTCATGACAAGTCACGCCCTGTGTACGTTAATCGCCAAAGAATATCAAGGGTCTGATACTTAAAGGCACGGATGTATTTTGTCGTAGAATAAATGTATTTTGTGTACCTTTGTCCTAGCACGTTACTTGGAAACCACAAACGCTTGTGCTCTTTTGTCCCTTCAGAATTTTATAGTTAAAAATGCGTGGAGAACATATGGCCGACTGTTCAGTTGTACATCTCTAGCGATCTCTCACTACTGAGTTCATTATCCTTCGGTAATTCGTGTCGTCAGTCGTGGGTCTCAAAGCCTTCTTCCATTCTCAAGTACCAAGGTTTTTTAAAAAGTTTACGTTCTGGAGATCATCAATTTACGCACATACATCTTCACCTTCCTTTGCTTATCCGGGCTTTCGCGTTCGCTTGAATGTATTTTTTTCAGTATCTTCTCGCACCTTCACCTATCGCTTAAGGCGGGGTACCTGTTCGCGCCTATACTGTTGCGCCTTCGCATTCAGTGTTTAAACTAAAGTTAAGTATACCTTCTGTTTTTAATTTCATGTAAAAGGAAACTTTGTGCCAGTCGATCCGATTTGGTAATTCTAAACTTATTAGGGTTTTTTTCAGTCTTTCCAATTTTTCTAACGTTTTGAACATTAAAGTTGGAAAATAATTTGCAACAGTTGCTTTGCTGATGGCAATCTTATCCTTCACGGCATATGATATATGACAACAGGCAACAACCCAGCTATCAGGACAAAAAGTTTTAGCACAACCTAGTGGCTCATCTATTAAACATAGCATATTAAAGATACGTAATTACTAACAATGTCTGGGAACTTCTTTTGTAAAATGATTCGAGCTTTATTGTATTTTCTTCAGCTCAACTAATAGGTAATGCCATGTACTGTTAGGAAATACTTCGATAAATTTGTTGTTGTTGTTATTGTTGTTGCATAAAATTGCAATTTGGCCAACAGTCAGCCACTGGATTGTAATACATGTAACATTTAAAAACTGATAAAAAATGATATGAAACACTGACAGCAATATTTTGGGTTTCCCTTAAAGAACCATACTAAAGTTTCAATATTTTATTGCGCAAAAATAAATAACTACAGCTATTTCATGAGAGGTTATACCATAACTTCTCATACACTAACTGTTGTACATGATCACACAATACATTTGGTACCTATTGCTATATTAAAGAACTACTTGTGCAAACCACTTTTGGCAATAGCATAATCAAATGACATTAATTGCAAATTGACTGAATTGTGACAGTACATAAAAATCTAAATACAATATTCTTATTAATCTAACATGTCATGTTATGTGATCACTGATTTATTTCAGTCTGTAACCAAAATAATTGCTGTTGTCAACCAATTCAGCTTATCATGATCCAACTTAGGAAAATGTTTCAGAATGTAAATATCTAGAAATGAAAATGTATCTTGAGACTCAATCATGTACAGATGTTCATTGAGAAAGTACCAACACCAAATCCACTTTCTGCAATCTGTTTTCCTTTCCATAAATTAAAGCTCCATAATGCTAGACTCTAACTGAGTTTGGTAATGGTATTATTTCATGAACTTTTTCTGATGGCGCAGAAGTGGAACTTGATATTTAAAAGACACAGCTAGACTGGAATCTTCCCACTGGCACATAAAAGGCATGTTCTGGAATAACTGACTCGAAATGATTCGCCCAAATCTCTACAGGTTTTGAATACCTGTTACACTGAGGATGCCTAGCATACCATTCAACTAATGCTAGAAGGTGGGTGATCTTTTGAGATTTTCCATTCTCCATTTTGATAACCACATCATGTTGCAGAAAGTCCCTAATGATAGCAGGTCTACTAGAGTCATCAAAGGCTGTTGGTTACAAGCTGAGTCTGCTGCACAACGGTATCCTTTGTATAAAAGGTGCTTGAACTTATCACAGAAGCTGGAAACATGGATGATTCTACCACCAGCATACATGGCCTCGTAAGTCTTCTGTAGTCTCCTCACATCATCACTTTCAATTGCATCCCCTTTTGATTGGTGGTAGTGGTACTTGAGTCTCAGTTTTACTAAGGTTAACATTCACTGGACTGCCAGTTTCAGATTCAACCATGTTGCAGAACTGCTGGACACGGACACTTGCTTCTAGTAAAGTTCCCTTTTGCTTGCCTTCACAATCCATAAGTTGCTGGAACTCTTCCATGCCTCCTGGAAATATAATTTGAACTCCTGGGGATAATAAAATGAAAACCAGTTAACATATGGTTCATAATGTATTCTGATACATCTAGGCATTATGCAAAGGCTTACACAAAGCAACATGCCACAAACAGGGTATCAGGCCTCTGGCAGGTGCAAGGTTAAAATTAAAGTCCACCATAAAATTTTGATAATAATAAAAAGTTATGTGATACTTTTGTGGACTTATTATTATTTGTTTTTAATTTGACAGTCAGTTGTTTGGTCGGTCGGTCATTCAGGTCTGGTCAAAAGCTAATGAGTTTTGCTACTACACTGTATAAGTGCTTTGTTGCCACAGACCTAATGGCCCGTCTGCTTTAAACTTTTATATTTATGTAACATGTATACATGTACATATATGTTTGAATATGGAGGTTTGAGTGTTCACATAATTTTTTTTTTTATTTCAAAGAATATGGCATGACTGCATTCTATCAAAATGTCAAGAAAGGAAAGACCAGTTTGAAAGAATTAATTTTCATTTTTTAAAATTTATTAGAGAAGAGTTTAATACCTACCAATATTAACATTGTTTGTATGGTAATCTCCCATAATTCCATTGTACCTCTCAAATGAGAAGCACCAAAAAGAGAAAACAGGTCCATAATCAAGTATGCAATCCTTAAAATGGCCATGAAGATGCATGTTTGGTGTGCACTTCTCCTTCCCGCAGAGGGCTTCTAAACATTACACAAAATCGCATCAGCTTGTGGTCAGCTTCCATACACTCCTCCTTGGTGATAACTTTTCTGCAAAGCAGTTGACAGGCATGTACAAATGCTGTCCACATTCCATTATGTCCACTGGGTATTACTCCCTTTAAAGCAAAAAAGGAGTAAATACATACCCAGTTCTTCCACTGGTCACCAGTGAATCCCTTAAATCCTTCAGAAATTTTGCTTTGGATGCACACAATTTCAGATGGTGGCTTAACAAGACTGACACGTTTCTGTTCTCTCTCCAAGTCAGATTCACTCAAAATTCCCATTTCAGTCCTTCAGTCCAAGTCTTAAGAACATGTTTGGCACTCCCAAGAGGCAAGTTATGCATGGGATCAATCAGTGCGAATCTTATAGCATCATAGTATGGAAGCTGGAACAGGACAGAGTAATGTGCTCCACTTGAAGAGGCAAATTTCTGGGCATCACTTGGTGTTTTAGCTTGGCAAACTTTCTCTGCAGATGCTCGATGGTCTTCATTAGATTGCTGTTCCCAGCTTTCTCTATCAAATCCTGAGAAATCAGGTTTATCACCAAATGATGCTCTTGGAAATTTTTTAAAGCATTTGCTGCATCCTGAAAATAATTATAGTAAAACACCATATAAACAATGATGCCAGTGCAACAAGCATGTATTTACACACGCAACAAACATATACCTGCCAACCTTTTTTGAGCCAAGGGTGCGAGATTTTTATCCTACAAGTGCCAGGATTTTTGATAGAGAACCTGATCATATCTGGAGATAATCCAAAGACTTCGAATGCAGTCCCAAACAATTCCAAACTTCCTAACACATGAAAACACAACCTCGTCTCTAGCACTTCCCTTCTAAAAGTCAGAGGATGTATTAGCTCAAACTTTTCTGCTAGGTGTGAGGAATTGGTCAGCTGGTGAGGGCTGACTTGAGATTGAAGTTTTTGATTCCCAAGACATGTGAGTTGGTAGGTATACATACACAAATACAAAAAAAAAAATAACCAAGGAGTTATTATTAAAATTGTATAAAACACTCTAGTTATAGTGCATCTTTGTGCACTCACCTTTCTTTGCAGTATGGCCAATAAAACCTCCACATTTCAAAGTTGCTGGTATATCACTTGACAAAGCTAAGATAGCAGCTCAGAACATCTCCCCAGTTCCAGAAATGTTTGTGTCTAAGATAACTCCATCACACAAGTCAATAAGGTCATCTACTAATGGCTGCAGGAAGGAATTGATATAATGCTTAGGATCCTTTGGCCCAGGAATTATTCCAACAACAATAAGATTTTCAGGTTTGAAGTGTTCCTTTTTTGGAAGGTTCATTACAACCATGTAAATGACACAAATGGATTTTGAACCATGAAGAGTGGGCTGAAGCCAGTCAATGTTCAACATGAGAGCAAAGTTATTTGGTATAGCAAGAAAGGGCTCTCCATCCACATACTGAAACTCTTTCCAAACTCTTCCTTCAAAACAGTCTCCAAGAACATTGTCTGACAGCTGGGTGGAACAATTTCTCCACTTTTCATAGTTTTCCATGAAGTTTGGCTTGTTAATAAGGTCTTGTAATGAATCAGTAACCTTTTTAAAGCAGTAAACCTGCCTAGGATACAAGAATGTCTCTCCTACTCTTGACCTCATAACTTTCATCAGAACGGAACCACATGGCCTCCTTTGGGCTTGGTGTGGGTGGCGTGGATAACTCACATGACTGCATTTTGCTGATACAACCTCACCATTTGGCCTTTGGCAAACACATTCATCAAAATTAGAGAGAGTTTTACACTTAAAGCAAACTGCATTTTTAATAAAACTGTTCTTCTGAAGGCCAAGGTTTTTTTGAATCATGAACAATGTTTCTGGGATGATCTTGGCAAGGTAATAAGAACTTCTGCTTGCATCATCTTACCAATACCAGATAAGAACAGCTTAAAAAACTTTAAGAGTAGAACAATAGCCCTGTCTGCAACTTTGAACATTGCCTGCCACAGAAGTAAGAATAAAAGCAAAGCCCTCAGTTCTGTGCAATCACTTCTTGGTTCCTTCTGTTTACCACATTTTTTTTGCACTGTTTTCCATTTCATGAGAATACTCAAAGCTCTGAGTATTGTTCTCAACATCATCCTCCTGAAATGAAATAACAGTACATCAGAAACAATAGCAATAAATAGTACTCAAGGTTCAGTATACATGTACATCATTCTGCTTGTATTTACATCACTAGTGAATAAAATGAATATCAAAATATTTCACTAAAAGAAATTTTACACATAAAAGCAGGGCAGTAGCCACACTGTAGCCTGAGGCAAGACGAGGCACTTGCCTCATCTAAATTTTTACTTAGGATAAAACAGTAAAACCTAGCTTAAGTTGGAAAAGTAATCTCCAGAAAACATTTTTCTATTGGTTTATGAGAGATTAATCTACCTAAGAAGAGTGATTTAAGAGCAAAAGCCATGTTATGAGGGTCATTAAGAGAGATGGCAATGTTATGATCTGCTCTTTTTGTATTAGTTTGCCGTATGAACCAATAATATTCTATAAACTAACCAAGAGTTGCTGTTCTGATTGCATGGAGCTTTCATGTTTTTCCACTGAGGACTCCTCTGGTAACATTTCATCATCTACATCATTTTCACCACCATTAGAATCTCCTTCTGAGAAGAACTGCCTGTCTTCATCATCCCAACAAGGAAGAGCACCTTCATTTTCTGAATCAGAGTCCATGTCTAACTCAAGCTCCACATTTTGACTAGAGAATCCACATGCAATATCACCATATAGTGTCTGATGCTCATAGAAGGTACTTTTGCTCACTTTTCTTGCAGTGGTTACAGTAGAACTTCTCACCAATTCTAGGAGTGACTAACAACACAAGATGAATGTCAGATTGATCAGCATCAATGAGCTGATATACAGTGAGGCTCCTTTTACAGAGCAACATGCAATAGCATTGCTACAGGTGTATTTCCTGGGGTATAAAATAACAACCTTTACACACAAACGGATGTGTGTACCCAAGAGTCAAAAGTAAAACAAAAGCAAATAAAGAAAAATTATTATTATTAAAAAGGTCAATTTGCATCAAGCTGTTTACATATAACATTGTAAAGCAACAGACTGTGTTTTTCCACATCTGAATGTCATTTTCCACAGAGAACTGAAGTACTGTACATGTAATTGATTGGTGGACCTTATGTTGATACATAGGAAAAAGTCAGAAAATCCTGGCCCTGCCCCAACAAAGTTTTGAATGTAATTACATAAACACAGCCCATAACAGACAGCCTGGACAGAGCTGTAAAAGTACTGTGCATGTGGCATTGTCATTAGGGGCTGTAACCTGTAACCTGTAATACCTGTTACAGCCAAGCCTAATTGATATTACAGGTGATAGTTACTATTTAAAAAACTGTTGGTAATGCTTTCAGATGTTCCAGCAGAGATCTTTGACTCTTGTCTTTGCTGTAAAATTTTGGTTTGTGTTCAGGAGATATGTCTTAGCACTCTTACCAGTCGGTCTTTGGCGAAGGTTTAAAGCGCGCAAGTTCTACCTAAGTCTTAACTGGAGTAAAAAAATCGCGCTGTTCATTTTTTTTTTCGAAAATTCCGCCATTTCACGTACGTGTTGCTATGGTTTAACGTTGTCGTCCCCAGTTTCCCCCGCGCGCGAGTCTCTACCATGCGCAGGGGTTTTTCAGTTCTGTCCAGCCCGCGCAGAACAAGATTCTTCCTTCTCTCAAAACGGCTTAACTTTGATCCATCGCAAATAATCAAGAGTGTTATATCTTGTGCGACCCGGGCTTAAAACACTATGAGGACTGAAGAAAACCTTTCAGGAATTTCAACTATCGTCGACCTATGTTCAGAAAGATCAACCTCATTATTAACTCAACTCACCTTTCACGTTTAATCTCTGCAAACTGGACTTTTCACATATGTGATCATAATAGAAGCTTTCCCCAAACCAAGAAGCGCAGTTTTCACAAAATTTCCTTCTCAATTGATCCGTACTTTCACCTATTATGCTGCCTTGGTGAAGAACTCTCAGCAACTATTAATATGCTACCGAGTTAAGTGCCGACAGAAGTGCCGACAAAATGCGTGACATTCAATGAGAAAGCGCTTATTGGTTAGTCTTACTCACGTGGTTGCTCTAGAAGTAGATTATTGGCTTACGGGTCGCTCAGACGAAATAGAAGGGAAAGAGAAGCGTCGCTCGACCTGTGGACGCGTTACATAATATTCGCTGGACGATTTTAGTTTTGACATCGATGTGGCTGCATCTTTCTTCCGGAGTGGTAATACCAGTACCACTTTGAGTCGACGACCATTCGGCTCAAGCTCATCAACCGGCGCCCGATCAAGCGCAGTTCCATCCCATCCAGAGCCTTTACGAGAAGATTCTATTAGAAATCGGGAGAACCTGGTGGTCTCAAACCGAGAAATTCGACAGTTGTTCGACACAATCAAAGAACTGGGGGATATAGTAAAGCGGCAAAATGCCAAACTATACAGTTTGAGCGTGGAACTGGAAAACGCTTGTAAAGAAGTGGCTGAGGTGAAGACCGAACTACAGACTGTACGACACAAGCTCGATCGCCAACCTCAGTCGACTGAGAAGGAGAATATCCTTCGTGGGCCTGTTCCAAAGCAACTAAAGGTTTGTGCAAATTTTTGTTCCAGCACTGTAGCAATAGGCGTTTCCTTTTAAGCTTCGATTCTGGTATGGGAAGTATTTTAAGCTTGTGGGACAGTATTCCCTTCTTTGTGATGTTAATACCGCATGTCATATGGCTTGTTTGAAACTAAGCCGAGAATAATAAATACTCGGGGGGCGGCCTCAAAGATTGCTCCAGTGTATGAAGTTTTGAGAATGTCAGACATCATTTGCCAATAGTGCCTGAAAATCAACTTCTGCAATTTAGTTTTAAAGCTACTGAAAAAGGTTACTCCGCATAGTTCAGTATAGATTGTTTTTTTCTGTAATAATTTACAAAAATGTCCTTAAGTTAAAGTAGATGTTATTGTTCATTGAGGTTAAATAGATAAATGAGCATTTAATCATTTTTCTCACTCACGAAATGTTTTTTTTTTTTGCATATTGCATTATCTGGATTCACAAATTGAAAAATTAACAAATGATGCCACTTTCTCTCTCTCTCATCTTGATTGGAACATAATCTGGCAGCTATTGCAAACAGTTCAAAAATCTGTGGGAAGAAACCTTAAATAACATAGAATTGCGTCTTTAATTTTGTTGGCAACAATTAATATCAAAACGAGGCTGCGCATTACCTAACCCAGTCTGCAGTGTGAACGGTTCTTGAGCAACACATGTTTTATAAAACCATGTTTAAAAAAACCACGTTTAATGAAACTTGTTTAAATTGGTGTGAACAGGGCATTAGTTGTTAGTCATCACATGATGGAATAGATTCTGTAAATTGGCCGTTTTGAGTATTATTTATTAGATATTAAAATAATTTATTGTTTTATAGAGTAAAGGTTCTGAGAAAAATACACTAGTAAGAGGATGCAAAATTATCGGGAGAATTCGTTGCTTTTCCAAGAACACCTGATAGTATGTGGTGTGGATCAAGAATGCCGAGTGAAATTTCTCGTACCGTGGAATATCAAAATCTAGAATACGAATCTATTCTTCAAGTACCGAGAAATTTCGGGTTCTCGAATATCAAGCCATTCTGATAGGAAAACCAGGTTCTAGAACACAGACCGATTCGTCTACTACCGTGGAATTGCGGGTTCTTAAATACTACGCGATTCTCGTTGTGCCGTGGAAAATCGGGTTCTAGAATACAGATCGATTCGTCTAGTACCGTGGAATTTCGGGACAAGAATGCCGAGTGAAACTGTTCGCACGGTGGAAAAGACAACTTTTTAGAAAGACACAATTTGACTGACCGCGCGCTCGTATACGGTACGCCATTATTTGCGGCAAATCTGAAAGTGTAAGGAAATTTCCGGGTTTCCATACGCCGCGTTTCAATGACGTATCCTGAAATCGGATTTTTTATGCCACGGGTTAAGTCCGTCGCATGTCTTGGAACACGGTACGTCCGGGTATGTCTGTATCCTCGAAGAATACGGATCCGTATCGTGGAATTTCAGCACTGCGATACGCCTTATTTCACACAGTGTTGGTATTAGCCATACCCTACTACCGAAACCAACTCGTTGTGTATACGAAAAGCTAAACGTGACTTTCGGTACTCCTTTAGTTGTCCTAATCGAATATCCATCGCGGGGAATTATGATTTTCACAAGTCTCGTTAACATTGTGTTGGTGGTTTTATAATGGTCGTAATAATATATCACATTCGACGAACTCTAGCCTCGTGCAATGCACGTAGGTAGCGACGAACGAAATTACGAATCACGCCGCTACCGTCACACTGCCGATAAATTGTTAAACCGTTTGTATTTTTGAGCGTAGCGCTGGTGGTTATCATTGCACGTTATTGTTCGCCCAGTTATCACATTGTAAAAATATACCGATCGAGAAGTTGACATCCTTCAGGTGTAGCGTGAAACTTTTTTTTGAACACACGAGAAGATAATATCGAGTGGTGAAGGCCGTCCAAACTAGGAAATCTGGGGGCATGCTCTGACAGAACATTTTTAAATCTAGGGTTTCGGAAATGTCATTTCCTGCGTTTTTTTTTTTTTTTTTTGCAATTTAGGCAAATAAAGAAAAATGCAGTTGTTGGTGGTTTAGTTTCCCCACCTCTAGTATTATCAGTAAGGCACAATTCTACGGCTGGCTGCGGAAACTGTCACATACATTTGTACACCGGTATCATGCTGTAAGTAAACAAGGATGTGAAATGGCTGCCCAAGTACGCACCGCAGACGACATTTTATGGACGAAATTCCTTCTCCTCTTGCCGACATTTTTATATTCACGCAGAAAATAACCACTCTAATAACTGCCCTAATATAGAAATGGGCGACAATTGACGGAAAATCCTTTTTAATAAAAAAGTTGAGATTGTCAAAAGCAAACTTACGAGCATACGATCTTTAAAGTTTAAAAAAAATACATGAGGCTGGCACAAAAGAGAGGCAAATATATTACACAAAGGAGGTTTCGCGGATTTTGTGACTTAAGCTTAGAATGAACCTATATTTTGCCGATAACTGTAAAGTTAGTTTTGTATGGTTAGTCGTACACGGTTGAATCTTCGACGACTTTATTTGTACCTTGTGCTTGTTTTTACATTTGTTTTCAACCTTTTAAACAAGCTTCACACTATAATAAGGATAATAGGTGTATTTCACTGAGTTTACAAGCCGTCTATCTTTAACATCTTTGTTCAAATCTTCCAAATCATTTGCACGAGAAGGAAAATGATTTACATCTTTTACCTTTTTGGTGGCAAAACTGAAAGAAATGAAGTGCTCAAGTAAAAGCGCTGAAAGTTAAACATCGCGTTTAAAAATATTTATTTCCTCTTCTGTATATATGACAATCGACCCTGGCACTTCCTCCGTTGTCGCTTCTTGTCTTGTTTGGTTGAACTTTTGCTTGCCATTTTCTGGGCCGTGTTCACAGGATTTTCTCGCTTTTATGCCTCTCCAAGAATTTGTAGTTCATTTCGAAACAGGGAAGAACCTATGGCTCACTTTCAAAAACGCTTTTGTTCGTTTTTGGCTCTTCAACAGGTGATAATGGCTTTGAAAACACTTTTAAATGACATTGTAGAAAACTTTGTTAACAGATGCTAACAAACTCCTATTTCTCCAAGCAAAAGGACATTAATCCGGAACTTATTAAAATTTGCGAAACAAAACGTTGCGGAACATGCCCTTATTTAAAACAGGGTAAATAACTCACCTTCTCCGCCACGAATGAAACATTTCGGATAAAACACTCGATGAACTGCACCTCAACGAACTTGATTTACGTAATAACATGCATGT